GATCTTTGTCCATTCGTAATATCGCGGTAGGTTTGGCTCAGCTTGTGGCCACTTGGGACTGGTCACCACCAGAAGAGCTAGCACGACGCAGTACTGACATACAAGAGGATAGACTACAATTTTGAGACAACAAACACACAAAACCACCACCCCAACCTCATTTTGCACGCACATGAACTACTTTACTGGCGGTCGTGGTGGTGGTGGTGGTGGTGGCGGCGCTGCCGCTACTGCTGGTGCTGCTATTGCGACTTCTGAGACAAGTCGGGTCATCCTATTTATCACCTTAGCGAAACGCTTCCACGCTTCCTTGGGGAAGACCCCGTGCGCAACGAACGCCTGCACCGAGTTAGCGCCGCCAGCTTTTAGCGCCAGCCCACACTCGTACAGTGTTCCTCCGGTCTGCGCAAACAAGATATAACATGCGGGGAGAGAAAGAGACGGGCCAGAGGGTGGACAATTGAAGCAAGGAAACGGTTGAGGGTCGCCACCCACGACTACAAAGAGTTTGCTTGTTGATCAAGGCAGACCCGAAGCGCGGAATCGGCTTGCAAATCTGGTTATCGTCGACCAAAGCGAAAGTGGAAAGAGCATGTACTGCGCCGAAGAGATTCGCACAAAACTGAGACAGGAGGGGTACCATTGCCAAAAACAACACCACCAAAACAACAACCACCAATCAGTAACATGCAAAATACCTGCACAAGGTCGTCTACGATGATTATGTTCTTGCCCGCGGGGTCGCCATCTTGGATGGTAATACTGCGAATCTCACCATCCCGCACCTTGAAGTTTCGCAGCAACAAGAACAAGTACGAGGAGTACGCGTGAAAGTCGAGGAGGCGCTGCTCGAAACAACCAAAGCCAAAGGTAATGAGCGGTGTTGCCGTCAATTGGTGCTGCAAAGCCCTCCAACATCTCTCGACCCTTGTGCTTGCGACAGACAACGGAGGCTGAGTACATGGACACCGACAGTCCAACGAGCGACACATGTCATTTCTTGGTGCCCCCATTATGCCCCCATTAACAGGTTATTTTTCAAAGCTCGAAACGACGGAACATGACGTAGTGCATGTGAGGCGGAACAGTTAGCAGCGGCGCATTGTAGCGTGCTCGGGGGCGACAAGGCACACGGGGCATTCCAACAAGAAACCAAGTTAACAACAACGACTCGGGGCTCCGTGATTTACCTTCCCGCATATGACGGTGTGGAACCCCAGGCCAGCGAACATGTGGGCGAAGCGTTTCGCGGCCCCGTCGTCTGGGAAGGCGATGCAGCTGTGCGCAACACGGAAGAAAGACAGGGGGTGGGAGGAAGAAAGCGAAACACGCGAGACGAGAACGAGGGGGTACGCCGGCAATGGCGAACGCAGCCCTCCAAAATGAGAAACAAGAGAAAACAGTGCGACACCGGGGCCTACAGGGCATGGCGCCAGCAGCGATGAGGAGCACAGAGAGTGCGCGTGAGAGAGGGAAATAAACATATACAGAGCAGGAAACCCACGCTTTGGCTGTGACGGGAAATCCGGACGAAACATCCGAAACTCACGCAGCATAGGGGGGCAAGGTTCATTTTCCTTGGTACAGTAGATCGAATTTCTCAGGGTACTCTAACAAACAAAAAACGAATATTCCAGACGCAAATAGGAGTATAAATTTCATTCGAAAACAATGGAAAAGAGAGGAGCGACACTTCATTACTCACTCACTCGATATCGCCTTTCTTGAGCTCGTTGATGAGAATAGGGATGCTCGTCTGCAGAGACGCAATAGCGTTTCCGTGGAGGTAAAACCGGTTCTGCAAAAAGGAGGGACGGGCGAATAAAACAGTGTAATCACATGAAGGTAATAGTCGAAAACGAAGATTGTGGTCGTGGTCCCTCCCTCCCGTAACTATCCCTCCCCCCGCACCATCCTCCCTCGATTGCCGTTACTACCAGTAAGCGATTCCACTCTTGGGTGCGCCCCACCAAAGGTATGTATTCCATTTCTCACTCGGTTCGGGTTCTGGTACGTGCATCCATCGGACATCGAAGGGTATTCCATGAAGACCCCCGACAGTGCTTGAAGGCTTAGGTCAGCTGGGGTGGAGCAGGACGAAATCAAAGATAAAAGAGAGCGTGCGTGCCATTCTCTCTCGCACATTCCCGCGAAATCATCCCCCCGTCCCCCTGTCCCTACAACGGAAACATTTCTCACATAGTGCTCTCTGACTCTCTCTCTCTCTCTCTCTCTGCTAGTACTTGTCTCTCCGGAGTTCACCGCTGTCTCCTTGTCTCAACTCGTGCCAAGTTCGCGCTCTCATGAATCATCTCTTCGTCGCATTGCAAACGCGCGCGCGTGACTCTCTCCCTCTTTGCCTCTCTCTTTCTTTCATTTTTGTCTCTCTCCTCATTCCGAACCCCTTCCAATGTCACGGTTCCACATTCCTCCTCGCCTGCAAGGTGTGCAGATCGTACACGAGCAAACGCGTAGGCTTGCCGCAAGAAGGCAGGTTGCTGAACATCTGCGCGTACGTGTTCGCCGTGGCCACCTGATGGAAGCCGCCAAGAAAAGCGGACACAAGACCATATAAGGGAAACACACGCATTACATACAATTGACCGGTGTAGATAAGATGGAAGCACGGCACGAAGAGTACGGATGGATGATGACAATTGAGCCCCCAATTCAGGGAAGAGGAGCTGGGCGGGAAGGGTAGTGCGAAGATAAAACGAGCCCCCAGAACTTTGGCGTGCGTGGGTGTGGATGTATGGAAAATGACAAATCGTGGTCAACGATGTTCCCTACGATTGAACATTGGCGCTTCCAGCTTCCTTTTCGAACACCCGGATGACTTGTCAACCAATGCTGACAGGCTTAATCGATAGCAACAGTAGCACCTGTACGTCGAGTGCGCTACCGGCGCGCATCGTCTTTTGAGAAAGTCCCGGTCGGCCTAAGCAAATTCGAAACCTAGCAGTACTCCTGCTTCTGGTTCGAAATAAAATTCACACAAAGGCACCCGTTGAGATTTTGGCCTTCAACTTCAACACCGCTACTAGATAAAAAACGTTGTTTCCGGATGAGCGGACTTGATTGGGCACAACACATTCTCCTCTGCTGCTCGATTTTTGGGAGCATCGCCGAATAGAAACTGTTTCTACCTTTTTTTTTTTGCCGTTGGCACGCTTGACGCAGACTAGAGAAAAAAAAAAGAAGAACGTCACACACACAGCGCGTTGCGCGTTTTTCGAATGCTGGCCCCCTTCCAGGGACCTTGATTTTACTCGCTGGCACTGACGTATTTTCATTGGTCAGCCGGACAGGGCGGGTCAATGGCAACTGACAAACACGCAAGGACACACACACACCTGCCCCTCTTTGACGACTCTCTCCATGGTGCCGGTGGGGTAGTAGGGCAGCACGACTGTCAGCGACTCCACGAAGTACTGAAGCAGACAGATCATCACCTGATTTACACCCAACGAGTACAGCAGGCCCAAACATCACACGATAGTCATCACGGACCGTAACGGGTATCAGCAATGCCAGGACCAGCATCAAATGTGGTGGTGCAATGGGGCAGCGGCTTATAGAAGCGACAACATAATCCCAACGACGTCGCAGTACAGTAGAGGCCCCAAAAAAAGGGCATGAAGCCGGACCCTGACCAAAAACATGTCGATTGTGTGTTCTCTCACTTGAGCGACAGCTGTCACACAGGAAGGAACAGTAGGCAATATCACTATACATCGCATCGCCCCCAGAGCAGCCAAGGAAGACTGGTCCTTGTTAGCAAGCAGATCGAAGACACGTGATACTATTCTATGTAGCGCTGCAGTACCCCCACTTTCAAAGACACCAAAACCACGAGCATTCACCGCATTTCAGGACACAAAGGTCGTCAGAAGCATGGTGCTATGCAAAACGACGACATCAAATTGAGACACCTCCCTGAATGAACGGCACTATTTAGAAGAAATTCATTATTTCCTTACAGCGGGGACAACAGTGCAGTACCTGAAACTGGCTGAGGGTGACGTCATTGTTGTGGAAGGAAGCCAGGAAGAGGACGTGCTCGCCGGAGATGACGTTGTACGGAGTGAAGCCGCCGATCTACGATTGGAGCACGAAAAGTAAGTGGCAGCAGCAGCAACAACAACAGCATACGACGGCGCGTCATTAAGCAAACGCCGCATAAACAAGAGCGACGGCTACAGCAACAAGAACGGGGCCCCGCGGTGCGTGCCGCACAGGCATCCTAGAGCGAGGGGGGCGGGGGGGCGGTACGCCGACAACAGCGAGGAGCAGAGCCAGAGACGGGACGGTAAACATGCCACAGCCGTGCGGGGTACGCACTACAAGGTACAAGGGAGCAACAATCGGGACGCAAGGAACGAGCTAATGGTCAAAAATCACACCTCACACCTCACACCTCGATGTTGTCCGTCCCGTCGGGGAACTTGCCCCAGCTCGTCTTGTGGAACCGGAACCGATCCGGGTGTAACTCCTCCAGCCGCTCCCCCAACCCCTCCATAGCCTCCGCCGCCAGTATCTGGTATCGGTGCTGAGACCGCCTTCGCTTCGAGGAGTAAGCGGCAGCAGAATTCAACGGTACAACGAGAATGAACGCATGCCAGTGCTGTGGCTAGGAGAGGGCTGCGCCTTCCCCTTGTCGTGGATGAAACGCCCCCTGGACTTGACCGATTTTCAAAGCTTGAGACCCATGTTTATGGTCGCCAAATCTTTGCGAAAATGTTTATATTTTCAAACATTTGCGGACAAAGATTTTGTTTCACTGTTTATGGGAGAAAATCTTCGGCAAAATATTCTCAAACATTTTGAAATGGGGCAAAAGTCGCTCGTTTGACAAAATATTCTCAAACATTTTGAAATGGGGCAGGTCGCGAAAATGTTTCCCAAGAGCGGCGAGATTAGCAGCCGACCGCCCCTTCCGTCCTAAACACCAACCACTGCGCAGCGCACACTCAACGTAGCAAGCTCATAGAGGGATCCGGGCAACCCTAGAGTCACCGTGTCAATGTTTTGCCGGCTGATACATGGCGGGAGCTCGTCAAGCGTGCACAAAAAAACAAACAGACAGGGGTGGTTTGGAGGGCACGGAGAAAGCGTGGTTTGTGTCTCCGAACGGCAAAAAGTCGGCTGCTTGAGAGGAGAGGTGAGCACAAAACTATCCAGCTCTCGTCCTCTAGACCATCGATTCATGTTTTGTTTTCTTGGGTGTCTTCTCCATCAACGTCTCTCATCCGGGTGTGCGTGGTTCAGCAGTGGACGTACTCAACAGGCAGGGAGGCGCGTCGCTGTGAACTTGATGTGTTGAAAAAGTCTTTTTTGGGACGGAGGAACAAGCGCTCTATATTCAAGTGAAAAAATAGACCGAAAAAAACGTTGTGTCCACAACTTTGCGCGCACAACGATGTGCCTCCCTGCCGGCTGAGCGCGGCCACTGCCAACCCACGCACAACCGGATGAGAGTCGTTGATGGAGAAGACACCCAAGAAGACAAAACATGAATCGATGGTCTAGAGGACGAGAGCTGGATAGTTTTGTACTCCATGTCCTCTCAAGCGGCCGACTTTTTGCCGTTGGGAAGCGCTGACGCACGTTTTGGTCTCTTTTTGACACCGAGAACATTTTTTCTCGCACGCCCGGAGCGCTATCGCCACATATTGGCGGGCACAGCATCAGCTCAGTGCATCAAGGGTTGTGGGGAGCCCTTTGCGAGCTCGTTACATTCAGTTTCCATGACGCATTTGTGGTTTGTCTGTCACAAATCGTTTGGTAGCAGTAGACCACGATTCCCGCCGCACGTGCGATTCATTTCGAGAAAACCACACGATAAAGATTTTTTTGCCCATAAAAACGGTACTCAAATGTTCCTCTGGCTAGGCTTTTCCCCCGTAGGCGACCGCCGAAAACACCGAATTCCGAAATATGTCGCCGTAAAAAAAAAATGCCCGCCGAAAAAAAAAACTGTCGCCGAAAACCAAAAAGTAGCGCCGTTTTTGGAGGGGGCTACGCCGAATCATGGATTGAGGTCGCCGATTCTCGCCGATTAATTTCACGGTGCCGATTAATTTCGAAGATGCCAACAGCGGTGGCGGCGGTAGCGACCAGAGCGATGGCAGCGATGAAGAAAGCGACTGATGACCTGTGTTTCGGTTAGTTTCGTGTAGATGTCTTACTTCTTCGTAGTTGGTGGGTCAGTACCTGTCATGATATGCATGTTTTTGCCCGGACGTAGGCGTACATGCCATGCGTAACGTCGAAGTATCGAAGCATCTCATAGTATTCTATTTCGTTGTTGATTTGTTTGATAACTGAGGGCTTTGGAATATTGCATGTACGCACCAACCAGCGTAACATGCAAGATAGATGTAGTTTGTAGAAAAATAAAGAGAAGGACGAAGGACACATCATTTCGGTTTTCGCGGACAGGTGACATTTGACCTCCGCAGCATTCCAACCGCGTCGCGACCCGCTCGTTTTTGTTAGTACATGCTATGTACGTCGCCGAAAATCGCCAACAATCACCGAAACTGAACTATGACTCGCCGAAAAACATGTGGAAGGCGCCGAAAGTCGCCGAAAACGGCGTTTTTTGCACTAAAAAAAAATAGCCGAAAAATTCCGTGAAACGCCGCAAAAAAAAAAAAAACATCGCCTACGGGGGAAAAGCCTACCTCTGGCAGATATTCACGCTCAAATGTTTGACAACATTTGAAGATTTTTTTCAAAGATTTGGCGACCAAAAACATGGGTCTGATGTTGCTCCAAAATAACGAAGATGCCACAATCAAATGATGCGTTTTTGGAAAGCTCTCGATGACTGCGTCCAACGCCGTCATTTCTGGAGCCGTCGCAGCGTTTTTGCTGCAGCGAAATCGAGCTTTGAAAACCGGTCAAGGAAGTGTGGTGGATTCTTTAGCAGCCTACGTACGATAGGTGCATCACCTTTGAATACATTTTCGGACTCTGTGTCGGCCAATATCGTACGGTAGAGTGCGGTCGAGAACGGTTGGCTCCGAGCTCTTCGCCGCCACACCTGGGTGTCGATGTTGCCACCGACCCACCATTTCGACGATTGCATGTGCGAATCGTTGGTTGTGATGGGAGTGTGGTGCGTTAGTGGTATCGTTACACTGTTTTCGGGGTGCGAAACTGCCGTAGAATTTGGCTAGAAACAGCCGACCCTGTTCCCTAGTCAGCTCCGCCGCTACCGTTGAGTATCGATTCTAAAGAAGTGGCTTGGCTTCAAATTCCGGTCGCAGCTCGATTTTCATGTTTTCATCGCTGCTGCTAGCCTACAGCAGTACACCGTACGATACGCGTATTGTACAGCAGTACAAGTACAGGTTGCAGCAATGTATGCGTAGGATCCACCACGACGGTGCAGTGTGTCGTGGTTCTCACCCCTATTTTCTTACTTCCCGTGAGAATTCGGGACCCTACTTCGGCCTACTTGTGCTACATCACCACTCGGATGGAAGATGCTTACCACTGCTGTATATTTGCATGCCTTCACGCGAGTGGGATAGCTGTATATTATTTATTTAGTGTGTGGGGAGGACACAGAGTTCTGTATCGGACGACACTGCAACGGCAACATGCAACATGCATCACATACACTTGCTGCTGCTGCAGGTTGCGCGCGACAGTTCCCACGGATGCACCTGCTTTTGTGGAAGGGCCATTCCTCTTCGACCGACCGGTTGTCATCGCTGCTGCCACACATGGACAACGCCCCCTCCCGCCTACGCGTGCGGCGGTCGCCAATGCACCCAGCGACGGCCCCTGTTCGTGTTCTCGTCGCTGCCTCACCCCCACTGCTCTGCCCTAGGCCACGCCCATCAGTGATCCTGACGCCGCGACATCTCCCGTGTGCTGCCTTGGATGCTACTCCCGGCAGAGCTCTAAGCACCACGCCGTGTTCTCCTGGTGGTGCTCTAGGAGGTTGCAGTAGAACGAACGCTTGTCCCAAGCGACCCTGCAAGAGCGCGATGAGAACAAGAGGAGCTGCTGCCGCAAGAAAGATGCCGCCAGGCCAAGCCAGGGTGCTTGAACAAGTTCTTGGCCCACCTGATTTCATCGTCGTAGCCAGGCCACGAACACCAGCAACAATCGCTCCCGGCTGCTGCCGAGACTCCGGCAGGTAAGGGCGCAGACAACGCCGTTCGTCCACAAGTGAAGTACAACAAGCGGCCCTGCAAGCCCGGTTGAGGGGCAACGCAATCGGTTGCGGGGGGGGTACTCGTTGAAACACCAGTAGATATGCCGACAGAACAAAAAAAAAAACTTGGTGGCAACCTTGGGCAACCAAGACTCACTCACACACACGGTGGAACACCGCGACACGCGTGCATCGTCTCCCTGACCCCAGGAAACCACGCGAGAAGGTCAGAACGCACGATTAGTGCGAGCTCCGCGCAGTTGCCCGTGATTTTGCCATGAACTCAAAAGTATGGCCTGGGATCGCTTGGTTGGTCCGGTCGGTCACACCGATCACCGATCATGTTTCAAGGTTCCTCGTCCAAGTTCTGACTTCAACGCACATGTGCATGCATAGTCTAATCTACACCAAGGCCTCGAACTATCATCATGTACAAGAAGCCGGGAAGCAAGGCAGCGAGAGACTAACGCGGGCTTTGTGCTCAGTTGGTTTGCCGCAGCAGCCGTGTCGCCAAAAATATATGTGGTTCATTTCATGTAGCCGTGGTTCACCAAAATGGCGCGAAGCAAACTCCCGCAGCTGACCTCGCTGCGGCAAGTACTCTTTGGTACGTCTCACGCGCGCACACACGCAAGGAAAGAAGACGGGGGGTTGCTGCTGTTGAAGGCGCCCTAATTGTATGTGCTTGCTCATTCTTTTGCCGGGAGCATAGGACGTCGGTCCACACGTGTGCTTCTAAAAATATGCGCCAAGAGCAAGAAAGTTGTTCCGTTGTTGAAGGGATGTCGGAGACCGCTTCTGTCTCATCACATTCATCACGTCTCTCGGACAATGCCGTTTCGCCAGCAGCAGTCTCTCACTTAACGAGTAGAAGAAGGCGATGCCGCTTTGAACCTTGCGTGCTCGCGATACCAGACGACAATATGAGACCGCCTAACTAGCCGACAGTATGAGACTTTTCGCCCTTGCCGTGAGGGGGCCGCAACTCACGAGAAGTCTGTCTCCGCAACATGACATGCCAAAAGATCATGGAACATCGTGTATGCTCCGTCATGTAGGCGGAGACATCAACCAACATCACCAACAACTGGATGGGAGATGATACGTCGACACGGACGACCGCCGCGTACAAACTTCGCGAACCGCGGGATATTGCTTTTGGTTTTTTTTCTTCCGGAGAGCAAGATCAAAGTTACTTATTATCCCATGGATAGCATCCATAGACTGCTGTATGCAATATGCAAATACGGATTCTATTAGTAACACAAGTTACACCACTAAAATCTCCCGAGGAGATTCCTTGTCGTTGGGAGTCTTGCAGGGAGAAGTTTCACCATCTTTCTCCCGTAAGGTCGTCCCCAGCCGACGTGACCAAACTTGACGGTCAGGACTCAACACCCACCCGCGTATTGTACCGTAGCCATGTCTCGGGGCGGGTATGCCTGACTTGTAGGCATGTTCTGCTGCTTCAGTCAGGACCAAAGGTGTAAAGAAAGGAATTCGGGTACGCACACAGAAGAGCGGGGCATTTTCAAAAGATCTAAAGATCCGATCACCGCTGGACAAAGAGTCCCCCCAGCCCCACGGTAAATTTTGTACCTGGTATGCATATCATGCACAACTCCCCCCCCGCCACCTTTCTTTGCGATTCAGGCAGTAACTCAAGAGAATGAACTACATACGTATATATGCCGGCAATGAGTCAGCGTTGTTGCAAAATAATGTCCCAAATGCAAGACGTGTAAATGTTGCTGTTGGTGCTGGTTATCGATGTTGCGTTGACCGTATGGTGTAAAATTCGTGCTCTACACTCTTCGCCGGTGCCGGCGGAAGTATTCGTTTTGTTTTGGCCGACCGACCAGACCAACCTAATCCCACTCAACACTCAACACTCAACACCTTGCCTGGAGGTGTGAGAAGAACTTCAGAACACCTCATGTACGTTTCGTCCGATTACACAAACAGAAAATGTAGAGGCGTTGATCCCCACGTGCTGAAACCATCGTGTCACCTTCGCTGCTTCGATCACCCTCAGATGTTCCTATTTAGTAAACTTGCACTTCCTACAGTTTTACCTTACTTACCCGTGCGCAGAGACTCCATCACCACCACCATCACCTCCACCACCACCGGCTGCGGCGCATTCCCTCTTCTTCGAAAATGGGCAAGGGCAAGAACTACTCCTCCTCCTACTACTCGCCATCCGGTAAGAAGTCGTCATCCTCGGCATACTCCTCCTCCTCCTCCTCCTCCTCCAACACCTCCTCCTACTCCTCCTCCTACCCTTCCTCCTACCCTTCCTCTTCTTCCTCCGGCGCCTCCGCGTCTTCTTCTTCTTCTCCTTCTTCTTCTTCTTCGTCACCGTCGTCCTACTACGGCAACAAGCCGGTGGTGTACTCGCTCAACCTCGAGGGTGGCAGGAAGTACGTCGGGAAGACGAACAACTTCGAGGCGCGCATGAACCAGCACTTCAGCGGCAACGGTGCCAAGTGGACCCAGCAGAACAAGTCAGTATCACTCCCCTTTGTTTCTGTTGGTATATTCATGTATGTAAGTATTTAGTGTACTGGTTTAGAGTCGAGGCATTCGCTTCGCTTGTTGTATTTTGACGATTCGTCGTTAACCGGTGGACTGCTTTACTCTCAACAGCTTCAAGCATGTTCCCATCCTCGTACTATACCTATAGAACGAATGCATGAGGAAGACCATCGGCTTTCTACACTTGCCGGGGGGGGGGGGGGACTCATAGTCGTGGATGCCGGAATCGTTTCCACATTGACCTCGCCTCCCTACAAAGCCGGGACGGAACACGCCGGGTTCTCACCGGACC